CTTCAGTTCTCTGTTTCTTGGGTGGTGGAATAGTTGTTGTTATCTCTGGACCTTCTACTTCGTTTAGACTTGAGTCCTGCAAGAAACTTTTAAGGATTTCAAAATCATTTGGATTATAGTATTTTTTCACCTGGTCGGGACTTGCTTTACAGATTTCCCCTCTCTCGTTCTTAAGATATAATACTACTCCTTTGATTTCCTGAATTACATAGGGGCCTTCAAATTTGGAGCTAGCTTTGCAGCGTAAAATTGTCTGGGGCACTTGATAAAGAAAATTTCCGCTTCAATACTTTATCCCCAACTTTAAAATCTGCTTCACAGGCGTTTTCGATATCATAGTATAAGTTTCTGCCTATTTCTTGCCGTATCCGAGCTTTTAAGCGCCTGATCAATCAAGCTTTTGCACATATCTTTTTGTTTAAACTTCTGCTCTCTTTGTTGCACAAAGAATAATTTATCTAAAGGGCGTAATTAACTTTCTGTCCTAAAAATAATTCTGCTGGAGTTTTTCCCGTAGTATCATGATTTGCCGTTCTTAAAGCATAAGCTAATTCATTTATGTAGCCATCCCAGCGCTTGTGATGTGTGCTCACGTAACTGCGAATTATTTTTACTATATTTTTATTAACTCTTTCTGCTATGTTAGCCTGTGGTCTATACGGAACCATTTTGATATGGCGTATGCCAAGTCCATTGCATATATTTTCAAATATTTGACTAATGAATTGTTTTCCCTTATCGCTAATGACTTTTATCGGTGCACCGTATTTTAAAATGTATCTGTGTAAGAATGCATCTGCGACTGTTTTGGCTGACGCGCGTTTAAGTGGAACAATTTCTGTCCATTTTGAAAAATGATCTACTATTTACTAAAAGAAAACGATTTTTATTTTAACTCGCTCTGGGGGAAGGGACCAAGAAGATCTATGCCTAAAATTTCATTCGGAAATGTAGCGCGAATGCTATTTAAGTACCCGGCCGGGCTGTAATTAATATCATTTATTAACCTACATTGATTGCAGGACCTGACATACGCCGTTACTATTTTGTATAATTGCGGGAAATATACCGCCTCGCGTACCCTTTTTAAAGTCTTTCTGACCCCTAAATGGCCCGCTGTTTTTGCTTCGTGTAATTCGTTCAAAATGCTTAATCGAAGCGAGGCTGGGATGACTGGTTTATACTCAAGATTTTCGTTTGTTGTTTTCGTATAAAATAATAAATTATCTATTATTTCATAGTTTTCTGCTCTATTTCTTATCGCATCGATATCTGTGTGCTCAAAGCTTTCGGGGTCTTTCAAATAAGCATAGATATTTCCAAATTCAGGATCAGCTTTCAGTTCAGTAATAATCGTATCTCTAGAATCTAAAATTTTTGAAGTCAACACAGCGCATTTTTAAGTTCATTTCCTTCATCGTCCAGTTTTATACGAGAAAGTGCGTCAGCTACATTGTTTTCCTTACCCGGTTTATATTTTATTATGATATTATATTCTTGGAGTTTTAAAGCCCATCTTATTAACCTGGGCGTTAGGTTTTTCCCGAGTAAAGTCTACCAACAGCCGCATGATCCGAAAAGACTGTTACTGGCGCTTTGCCGAAATAAACTCGAAATTTGTGTACAGCCATTAATACGGCTAATGTTTCTCTTCTGTAGCTGTATAATTCCTTTGTGTCTGATTCAATGTTTTACTAAAAAATGCCAGAGGATGGTTATTTTGCATTAGAACCGTACCCACCGCATAGTCTGACGCATCTGCTGCAATTTCCAGGTTTTCGTCCCCCTCCGGGAATTTTTAAAAAGGGGCATTGATGAGCGCTTCTTTTAATCTTTCAAATGCTGTGGTTGCTTCCGCTGTCCACGTAAATTTACCCTTTTTCTTTTGAATTACTAAGAGTGGTTCAACAATATTAGCGAAATCTTTTATGAAAAAACGATAGTAAGAACATAACCCAAGGAAAGAAGAAAGTTTCTTGGCGGTGTTTGGGCGGTGGGAAATTCTTGATAGCTTTATTTTTTGAATCTTGCGTTTCTATACCCTTTTGCGAAATTTTATAACCGAGATATTTAAGTTCTTTAGTTGCGAACTTGCATTTTGAGGCGTTAATTGTAAGACGGCCTCTTTTAATAATTTAAAAACTTGTTCTAGATCTTTAATGTGTGGTTCCAACGTACTACTCGTTATAATTATATCATCTAGATAAATTAAAGTTGATTTTCCTAGGACAGGCTTTAGAACAATGTCCATAGCTCTCTGGAATGTTGATGGGGCCCCACACAACCCAAAAGGGCATGCGTAAAAATGCATAAGTGCCCGATTTTGTATAAACGCGGTTTTATGTATATCTTCGGGTCTCATAGCTATTTGATAGTAGCCAGACGTTAAGTCCAAAGTAGACATGTATCTTGTCGATTTGATCTGTCTAATGAATTTCTCTCTATAACCGGCAAAGGATAAACTGGAAATTTGGTAATACTATTTAGTTTTCTGTAATCGATAGCAAACCTCCAAGCCCTTTTATCCGAAGGAGGAAAACTCGTTCTTTTTCCTACATAGTACGACTGGACTCGCGTACTCACTATTTATGGGCGTTATTCGTTATTATTTTTCTTTAACATCTCCTGAATATGTTCTTCGATGATTACGTCTTTTTGTTTATCATACCGATAAGGTTTAGTCCTACAAGGTTTTTCGGCATTAATTGAATCTTGTGCGTGAACTATTTGACAGTTACCTGGCCTTTCTGAAAATAAATTGAGAAAAATTACTCACCACTTGCTGTATTGGCTTGCCTTTCATGGTCATTCAGATGGCTAAGGTCCACTTGCGGTTGTTCTCCACAGGTTCCACCACCCTCTGGTCCATCTCCAGCACCACGGAACTATCTTGAAAATTTAATTTGGCCCTCGCGGCCCTTAAAAACTCCATACCTAAAATAAGAGGATTTTGCAGATTTTTCACTACAAAAATTAATACTTTGAGGCTTTCCTCTTTTACCTGTAAGTTTAATGATAATTTCCCGATGCAGTGACATGTTTTTCCTTGCGCCGCTATAATTTCCGTATTTTTGGTTTTTAAATAATCGTACCCTATAAAAATTCTTTTTGAAGAAATTTTCACTCATTAAAATTTCCTTCTGCTCCTGTATCGATGAGGGCTTCTACTGGTACATCGCCAACCAGGACTTGTATAATTGGTAGCTGTGAGTTTTTTACGATGACCGTATTTAAATGTCTATTTGAGGGTTTTTTTAAAACTTCCGGGGTCTGGACCCTCCCTTTCACAGGCCCCTCTACTCGTTTAAAGCTTTCCTTTCAATCTGTGCCTTCTGGGTACGCGGATGTTTATTTTCAAATTTTCTTTTGGGCCTTGACCTTCGAGTTTCGATGAGTTAGCTTGATAGCTCTTTCCCCCATAAGAGCGATTTCCATTTCTCGTTTCCTCATTTGAAGATTTCCTTCGGGTACTTTGAGAATATGTTCCCCTCTCGCTTTTTTCCGCTATTCTGCGATTTTGAAAACTTCACCGCCAATTCGAAGAGCTTCCTGCAATGGGCTTGGGTTTCTAATTTCAAAGTAGTCTTGAACAGCGGGTAACAATCTTGGTAATTTATTTCAATAATCTCCGCGTCGGGTTTCTTCCATACAGCATATCCGTCAGCTTGAATTTTTCGTAGAATAAAGTCCGTCAATTCTTCTATATATTCCGTTGATAGAAACTATATAGTTCGGCTTCCAGCCGTTGCGCGATCTTTCACTATGGGGAAGGCCTTTACTAACGATTTTTTGAAATTTTCAAATGTATATGTCTGGCCTTCCAAATTCCCCTAATAAAAATTTGCCTATATTTTCCACCATAGCGCGCGCCCTGTCCTCTTAGTGCTGATGTGGCGATGGCAACTTTTTGTCTTTCAGGAACAGGGTAGAGCTGAAAGTGGTTTTCTAGACCTTCTAGAAATACCGCCACGGAATTTTTTCCGTCGAAATGGACGTTTGGCTTGATTGACGCTCTCAAAGTCTGGACCAGGTATCCAAATCCTTCCAACTGGCATGTCATTTCTTGGTGTTGTCCAGCGGATTCCATCCAATTTTCGGCCATTTCAGTTCGATAAGTGTTCGGGCGCCAATGTAACGTTGCGTGCCTCCAACTTGCACGCAACCAAGAGGTGACTGTGAAAACGGATAAAAAGACAGAGTCTTGTGAAGGGTTTAAGTCCCTTTTTATTCAACGTAAAAATTACAATTGCGTGCTCTTGACGCTCACAAACTGCGCCAACTCGGCGGTCAAAAAAAATAATAACCTGAAAAAGAAACTAAAGACAAGACTCTAACTACGAGGCTCTCTAAAAAATAACTAACTCACCGCGTTTACAATACCGCTGCTAATTCAGCAAACTGAAGATCACTTGAACGATTAACACTACTTCCCGGCAAGCACACAGGCCGAAACGCGTGGTTCTTCAATTTCTCGCTAACTACCTCCGCGCTCGTGAAGTAAGAATATCACACCTCGAACTCGTTTCCTTTCTATTTAAATCATAATACTTCCGCTGATAATTTGAATCCTTGCGCGTTCTACTAAAATTTACATATTCTGGCATTGGCAGTTCCAGGGGAAAGTAAGGCTTGACAGGAAAGATAGTTTAAACTTAAAATAAATGTTAGTTAAAATAAATATAAACCCTAACTTCTATGTCATGCGTAACGATATATATATATAAAATTGTATACAAAAATATCTTATATATTATTCATATGATGGCTAATTGGCGACGGCGAAACACGGCAATCTATCGGCTAAGTGGTGACGGCGAAACGGCGTAAAGGAAACCGCGGCAATCATCCCTTTACGGATTACACCAGAAATACCGATAGCTGCCGTTGGAGGAAGAAACTGTGATGTCTTTCATGGGTGGTGCTTGCAGCGCTCTCACAAGTTTTTGAAACAAAATAATTAATATAAATTTAAAAAAAAATTTCATCATTTTGATACATACCAATTTGAGCCATATGACCCCTTCTAGCTAAGTTCTTTTGACGAACAGCTTCTTTAATGCGATCTACTTCATACTGATATCTGAAAGTGAAATGAAAAATAAATAAATAAGTCAAAACATTCCCAGTTTTTCACCGTGTACATTATGAAATGTAAATAAGTTTTAAAAGTTTTATCATAGAATCACTTAAAAACCTACGCACTGATTTTGTGCATTATTATGCATGCTATGAAATAGAAGTTAAAAAAATTGGTATGGGCACCATATGACTTCCTTACGCGGCTTATTAAATTATACATATTTTTTGGCTGCGTTTCATTCAACTTATTTCCTTGAATTATTCTAACTTGATTAATCGATTCCTTTAAGTAAATTGAAAATTACAGTAAAAATTGCAAATTTTGAAATTAAATATTCCAGCCAATTTTGTCATACGGGAGTCAAACTTCTTACAATTTTATTTTTTCATGACAAAAATAAAACTTTTTCAAATATAAGTATAGGAACGGGCAAACCACATTAAAAATTACATTTTGTTATTTGTCTTCCCCCCAAAAAATATGAAATCCTAGTTACGATTTTTAGGCCAAGTAAAGGGATTACTTAATATTATTTAAACTTAATTATTGTAACTTAGTTATAATTATATATATATATATATACAGTGGAGGCCAAAATTGTGGACACTTTTGGAAATTTTTATATTTTTTTGAACTTTGTATGCTTATAGAAAATGTTACGTTTCGCAAAATGCAAACTTGTATATATCATTTTTAAAGAGAATTTATACTGAGTTCATACAAAACACAAAATTCAATTATTTGCAATACAAAAAAAGTTATATGTACTTTAATATAAATAAAAAGCTTTCCTGGCCAATCACTGTTCTTGTTCTGAGAACCAATCAAATGTTAGTAACGGCCAGTAGAAGCTGACATCATGTTTACACTTGAAACAATTCATTACTTTGCTTTGTTCTGTAGAAGGAGGACCTGTTTCTTATACACTGCAATTACAAGTAGAAAGTTTTGTAAAAATTTTTAATATTTAGTCAAGAAGCAATGACATCAAATAAAAGAGTAGATTGGACACCTAGAAAGAGATGTAATATTGTGTTACGAGAAAGTGGTCTTTCCTATGCTGAAATTGCAAGACAGGTGGGTGGTTCAGTGACTACATCTGGAGTCCGAAAGTTTTGTTTACGATATCAGGAGACAAATTCAATAAAAAAAAAGAAGGAAAAGACCGACAAAGGTGCACCACATCTATTGATGACAGAAGAATAAAAAGACTGTCTCCAAGATAGAAAAATGTCATCAGAGACCATCAGAAGTCATCTGATTGATGCTGGTGTTTCTGTCAGTTCAAGAACAATCAGGAGAAAATTAACAGATGTTGGACTGAGAGGTAGAATTCCACGAAAAAAGCCTTATCTTAATTTTCAGCAATGAAAAAAAGAGACTACAGTGGGCAAAGGAACACATTAATTGGACAGATGATCAGTGGTCACAAGTTATATGGAGTGATGAAACTAAGGTATCGTTATTCGGTAGTGATGGGCGAAAATATGTAAGACGTAGATTAGGAGAAGAGCTACATCCTGACTATATTCAAGCAACTGTGAAGAACCCAGTTAGTGTTATGGTTTGTTCATGCATGTAAGCAGATGGTATTGGTCGCCTTCATGTCATCGATGGGACACTGAATGCCAGAAAATACATTGACGCTATTCTAGAACCAAACCTTCTACCTTCCATCAGAGACCTCCATCCCAACAATGCTTCGTTTATTTTTCAGCAGGATTCTGCTCCTTGCCACACGGCCAAAATATCGAAAGAGTAGTTTCGTACAAAGAGCATTAAATTGTTGTCATGGCCAGGAAACAGTCCTGACCTCAATCCTATCGAAAATTTGTGGCGCCGTTTGAAAACTCTTGTCCGAATGAGGCGCCCATCAAATAAAAGGGAACTAATTGAGGCTATAATTGTTTCCTGGCATCATGTAATAACGAAAGAAGAGCTTAAAACTCTTGTCAGCTCAATGAAACGTCGTTGTGAAGCTGTAATCAAAAATAAAGGGTACCCTACTAAGTATTGATAACTCACTGCAATCATCACTATCTAATGTATACCGATAACTATTATCGTTTTAACTTTTTTCGTATTGCAAATAATTGAATTTTGTGTTTTGTATTGAATTCAGTAATAAATTCTCTTTAAAATGATATATACAAGTTTGCATTTTGTGAAACGTAACGTTTTCTATAAGCATACAAAGTTCAAAAACATAAAAATTTCCAAAAATGTCCACAATTTTGGCCACCACTGTATATACGTTTGGTATGGCAGATTGCAATAAGAAAGGTAGGTGCACAACTAGACGTTATAGCAGTGCCATGTATAAAATTTCAAAGTTCTACGACTAATTGTTTTTAGCTATACGAAGTACTTAGGTAAACACATACGTATGTACAGACGTCACGAAAAATGCATTTTGAATCCATTTTACGATTCGTTTTGGAATAAAGAGTCCTTTATTCTGTCTGTACGTACAAAAGTCATGCGCAAAAATAGGCAAAATGAATTCTGGAAGGGTCTAAATAGATATTTCTGTTGAAATCTGAAACTCGAAAATTTTCGCGATTACAGTACTTCCTTTACTTCGTATAAAGTAGTAAAACTATTCTAGAAATATAAGAGATTTTTAAATATAAAGTATTTATTTTCAAGAATTATATGTATGGAAACGTATTAGTGATAACCTATAATAAAATAAAAGAATCGGGGTATTAAAATGGGCATAAGAAAAAAAGATATCTTAAGAAATCATACACCAGGCTTATACTATATTACATCGAATAATTAGAAAGGAAATATTTGCGAATTTTACAAGTTTTTTCATACAAAATTTTCAAAAATCTATGTTCCAGGGAAATAATTTTAAAAGCTTATTTGGAAACATTACGACACAATGGCAGATTTTACATACATTATTTAAAAGTAATAGAACTCCTATTTGATGCATTCGCTTAAACCAACCTGGAACGGGGCTTACATTATCAAAATATTACAAATAAATAACAAGGAAATTCACAAACCTTTTCCTATCTCTCATGGCACTTTCTTTGGCTTCCTTGAGGGCTGTTTCTAGAGATTTCACTCTGTCCATAGTTGCCCGTAGTCTCTTCTCTAATTTTGGCAACTCACAACGCAGATCAGCGTTATCCCTGACGAGCTGAAAGTACCAAAAGGCCTGAACATTAACTTTGTTATTCACTCTCGCATTAATGTAATATTTGCTCTTAAAAAATAAATAGAAGGTCAAAGAAATTTTAAGCACTGTTTATGAGTTGAGCAATGAAACAAACACCTGCTTGTAAAGAAAACACTGTACTAATATGGTAAAATTAGAGTTTCCTATCGGACCCCGTGGAGATCGGCGAAATTTTAAAGGGAGTCATTCATGATCGAGGGTAGGATAGCCGAATTCGAACGCTCAGTTGATTGGCAACAATGAAGATTACATTGATTACAAAATATTTATAGCTACATGCATTAGGGTTCGTAATGGATTAAATGCATACAAAACGGATGTAGTTTTGTTGAAATTTATTACACTTTACAGTTCTGGAATTTTCCCACAAGAGCCCACGTACAGTGCAATACAGCGCAAGCTGTAAATACCATTTTAGATTCTTAAGAAAGTTGAAGACAAGGTAATGCTATGAGCTTCAAAAGCATTAACTCACACAGTAATTTCTCAATACTTGATATTCTGAGATAAACTCGGAGCTAAAACTAAAACCTGAGGCTCTCTTCGTTCGGTCTTATATAATTTTTCTCTGTCCGCCGAGGAATTTCCAGTACTTCGGTTTCTCGAAATTACTGGAAGGCATACACCGTCACAGTTACATAGGGCCAGATACAGTTACAGTTACATAAGGAATCGGACCCAAATGTCGTCGCCAAGCTTTGGCGACAAGCTGTGACTTTTGGCAATTTACCGTCAAATCTGGCTACAGAATGAATCGCCAAAACCATCGCACTATATCACTAGTGCCGAAACAGACATGTGCCTCAACGTTAAATGGATTTAGCCCTATAAGCTTATTTTCTGCGATGCTTTGCTTCCTGAGGCCTTTCATGTTATAAAAGATTTACTACAATTTAAATATAACTTCACCAAAATTATTTACAGATATATATAATTCGTAACATTATTAAAAAAACTCATAACCGGTACCTCGTTGATATAAAACTACGTCATATAATAAGGAAGAAATCCTATAAAATAAATATAAGGAGAAATACAAAAAAGTATTTAAAATATTAAAACAAATATAAGGGGGAAATGCATAAAAATCATTTATATTTTAAAATATAAAAATATAATATATGCTTTTAATAAAATCATATTTCTTTAATATATAACTTTTTATGCAACAAGTGTTGTAAAACTGCAAAACACAGTAACGCAAGAGAACACAACCAAAGAAATTAGAAGAACGTGAAACTTCCCCGGAAGATATATTGTTGGGAGTATTATATTTGCCAAGTGTTTCACTTCCGTTGCCCAACTCTGGGAAATAATTTTTTTGTATAGAGGTATTCAAAAACAGAAATGTATATTAAAGCTTGAAGTTTGGAGCGCTATTTTCAGTTATGTTAATCAACTCTGATACAGGGTGATCATAAAAAAATTTCCCCAATATATGAGCCCCTAGCGGCCTATCCGATCAATCAATCGAAATGATATTTCAGATGTTGTTATTTGAGGGTATACGTTTGAGATTGTGATAATTTAAAACAACAGAGAACTCACAGCTACGCCTACAGTGAAACAATTTCCAAACTTTCGAACGGAAATGCCCATTTTTTTCCTGAGTAAATTGATCTGAGCATTCAAAAACCAACAATAGTGTTGGAACGATACAACCATGAAAAAAATTGCCAGCGTAAAACATTTGCCAAGAACAGCATTGTAAAGGACCAATGACAAAACATGAGAGAAGAGAAAAAAAAAAAAAAAAAAAAAAAAAAACTTTTATTGGAATTACAATTCAACGTGCCCACCCACGCAGATGATAACGCATTGTATGTGGAGGATTGTTGACAACAATAACGAACGTATCGCAGGAAGAATCTGTGTAACTTCACGTTTTATGGCATCGTTCAATTCTGACAAATGTCGTGGATTTGATGTACACACCTTAGATTTCTGAAAATTCAAAGCCAGATATCCGTAGGAGTGAGATCGGGGGATCGCGGTGGCCATCAAAGTGCAAAGTTACGGGAGTTGATTCTACCTTGAAATATTGCACATGTTGAAAACTTATTATTCCGATAATATTTTCCCCCTTTCCTTTCCTGTGTTATTGCTATTGGTCATTTACAATGGTCTTTCTTGCAAAAACTTTACGCCAAACAATTTTCGCCTTAAGTGTTTTATTCCAACGCCATTTATGGTTTTTCAATGTGCTGAACAATCTGCATGGGAAAATAGTGGGTGTTGCTATTCGAAATTTTCGAAATATTTTCACTATAACCATACCAAGGAAATTTTGTTCTTATTAATCATTACAATCTCGAGCGCATACTTTCAAATAAAATGTGTGAAATTTCATACCGATTGGTAGAGAGGATAGGCGCTGAGGGTCCATAAATCTGGTAAGTTTTTTACACCCTGTAAATAACTATTCGTACAGAGGTATCTGCTTTTAATCAGTAATAGGAAAAAATAAATGAGAAAAATGTTAATTTTCATAAGAGTTTCACATAAAGATGAAGATCATAAGCAAATGAAGTAAAAGTTATAGTTTAACAGCATTGAAACATACAACATGACCACAAAATTATTATAAATATAATGAATTTAAAGTAAGATTTAAAGAAATTTTGAAAAATATTTACAAACTTCGAAAGTTAAGACACAATAACACGCCGAATAAATACTAATTCAGAAATCAAACAACAAAAATCAGCGTTATATTTACAAAGTTTTCACAGGACTAGTTTCGATGGTTTTACCGAACCACCATCTTCAGCTGCAAAACCGCAAATGAACAAGATAGGAAATAATGATTAGATAAGATAAGAAAGCCTGGACAAGAATAAGCAAGTGGCGCCATCTGTTGGTAAAACCAGAACTAAAACATTCCATTGGAGAACTGGATTTTCTAGAGGCATTTCACATTCAAAAAAAATCTTTCTGTTCTAGTTAACGATCCTAATTCCAATCCATCTTTGCCTTCGGCCTTTAAAGAAATTATGTTTTAGTTCTGGTTTTACCAACAGATGGCGCCACTTGCTTATTCTTGTCCAGGCTTTCTTATCTTATCTAATCATTATTTCCTATCTTGTTCATTTGCGGTTTTGCAGCTGAAGATGGTGGTTCGGTAAAACCATCGAAACTAGTCCTGTGAAAACTTTGTAAATATAACGCTGATTTTTGTTGTTTGATTTCTGAATTAGTAAACTTCGAAAGGTTAACATATACTGCGAGAATATATTTACTATACTCCCTGATGATAATTACTGTCTGCTGAATATAGATCTTATATAGAGTATTAAAAAAGTGCTTACTTTTGAAGACGTTGGAGCCTTTATTTGCAAAAATAAAGGCCGTTGCAGCCTTTATTTTTTCAGCCGTTGGATGCAGACATATACACTTCCAGTTACCGAAATGTTTTACATGACGCAAAATTTCATGTTCGGTTATTTTATATTTAAATAAATCAGTTTTGTAAAAGTAACAACATCTAGCTTTATATACGTTCCTCCAGTCCATATAGTTATATTTAGAAAAGTTCCGTACTTCGTACAAAAACTAAAGCACAAAAGTTTCACATCTGGACGACGAAAACTGACCGAGTTATTTAATTTCAAAATTTAAGATTTTTGAAGTCATTTTTAATTTACATAGATGGGTCAGTTAATAAATAGATTAGAATTATTAAAAGAATTCCCCTCCTCCATTAAATATCATTCCACGATATCCGTTTGTGATTTACTAATGTCTTTCTTTATAATTTTGTTACACTTTATTATTTAAAATTTGTTTGTTGTTTTGTTTGCAGTTTTGTTTAGTTGATACGCAGAATGATTTTAACGTAAGTAATTTACAAGCTTTCAAAGTGTAAAAATACGTTGTTGATATTCTTATGAAGATTTATTACTTTAGAATTCTAATCTGGTAATCATACAAAAAATTTATTAAACTACAAATTAAGCTTTTCATTTTTAATTACTGCACATAATATTACGAATTGGCTATATGCAAATACTGAAGCTTGGCATTGTATACTTTATTTTTAATTACGAACTCATGAAACATTTTTCTCTTCAATTTATGTATGGTCCTTAGATATGATTCCATAATTTAATGCCAAATATATCGGTTTATATTTTGTAGTACGGGAGTCAAACTTTTTATTTTATTTTTTATAACGATTACAAAGTTTTCTAAGTACACATAGGGTGTTTAAGCGTGTTTTAAAGAAAAGAAAAAGAAGAGAAAAAATAACAGAATTTGTTTTTTGTTAATAAAAGAAAATTAGTTTACTAAATAAAATTCTTTTTCAACTTATTTGTCAAAATATGCATATAAAAATAACGCAAAGAAAAAAACCCCAATTTATACTTATTTTCTGCTTGAAATCTAAAACTTGGTATCAGCAAGAAATTTCGGTTGATCACAGTTTTGTAATTGAAACGTATTGACAGCTAAATAAGGTTAAGGTATTAGTGACCACTAAATACCTTAACTTAAAAGAAATATACAAAAACTTCTTAAGATTCTTAAGATGAATAAAATTGAGAATAAATAATGACAACTTATTTTCATTCTTTTATTTATTATATTTTTCTATGATGCATATGGAAAAATAAATATTTGTATGTAAATATTTATAAACTTTTTTGTTTCTTACTACACCCTTCAGCAGCAAGCTCTCTACACTCTTCAGCAGCAAGCGTTTTGATGTTCATAAAGTTTGTAATCTTGGAGGAAAATTACTAGTGTGTCTTCATTACAAATTGTAGTAGATACTCATTGGCAGTCTGGTTCGATTTGTAGACTTTAATTTTAAAATATGGAAAAATAAGTAGTTCACATGTAAATGCGCTTCCAAACAAAGCAGTTATTCTTATTACAAAAATTTGAAATTGAGGATAGGATATTTTTATCTTCACGAGTACTAACAAAAGTTAATTAGATTTGTACCTTAAAATCATATCACAATGTAAATTAATTAGTTCCTTTCTAGATTTTCAGGAAATCTTGCGTTCAATTTTGGTCATTAAAATAACGTAAAATTGGACTCTAAATTTTAAAAATCTAAGTTCTTCAAATTTTTGTCATACTAATTCTAAATTTACAGAAAATATATTCTCGAGCTGCAAAACATCCCTTCGGGTGTCGCACGCGACCCTTCAAAATATGTTTGTAATTTTAAAATCTGCAATTTTTGACAATCATATACAATTTGCATTGAGGGGCCGGTTATTAGAAAAATGTGAAACGTTCGAGGTTCACTTTTGCCTCTTAAATACCATTTGCTAATATTTTTGATTGACTGGTATCCTTACTTTATAATTTTGTTTCTTTTAATATGCCGAATAAATCTACACGCGAGTAATTTATTTTATCTTTGAAATTCTAAAAGTACGTTATTAATATTCTCCTGAATTTTTTATTACTTTAGAATCATAATCTGCTAATCATAACAAATTTAATTTAAGTATAAATTTTTTTCACTTTTAGTAAATGCAAATAATATTATGAGTTGGCTACGCATCACAAAACCGTTTTCTAAAAGTATTTTAATTTCAGTTACGAACAAATGCCACTCTCCAATTTGCGTGCGGCCCCTGAATATGATTTACTATTTTAATATCAAATATCTCGGTTAGTTTTTGCCGGACGGTAGTCAAATTTTGTGTATTTTATTTTTTATGACCAGTGCAAAATTTACCTGAGAATAAGTGTAAGGACCGGAAGGAAGTGTAAAAGTTGCATTTCGTAATTTATACAAAATGATTTTTTAAAAATTTAAAAATACCAGAACATGAATCTTTCTGTCATCTGAAATATAAATATTCAAATATATGGTCATATATAAATATAACTCGCGGTTCATAAAAAAACGTAAGTTTATATTTTACATAATATTATAGGTCCATATTATAAAACATTTTTGTAATGGATAAAATATGAAAATAATCTCAAATTTATCAAGTTTTCTTCACATTCAACAAATGTTCTACGTGACCCTTCCTGGGTCACACGACACACGTTCAGGCAGTAGCTGAACATTTTGTAGCGTCATTCTGTCAATGGTCATCACTACACCATTGATCTGTTCTCTGAGGTCTTCAGATGTTTTTGGAAGTGGGTTACATAAACAAGGTCCTTAATATGCTCCAAAGGAAGAAGTCACAAAGCGTTAAATCAAGTGACATGGGCTGCCAAGGGTAAACAACGAGGTGATTCTCCCCAACATGTCCAGTTCAGTGATAGGAAAGTTCATCGTTCAGGTATCAATGAACTTGAATGCTGCATTCAGGAGGTGTCCGTTGTTTGGGAACAAAAATACAAAACTCCTGGAACCAGCAGCCGGATATGGAAACTACCAAAACCCTTACACATCCAGGTAACTTGCAGCAGTCTTGCCAAATACACCTTTCGCGATTTTGAGGTTATTTTCAAATATCACTCGCATTTGTAGCGTCATGCTTTTGAATATTGAATTCACGTTTTGAAAGTGAATGAATCTTTAATAGCAGCCTTTTATATCACATAATTCCAAGAACCTTTTTATTAAATTAAAATAAAATACTCACTTGTTTATGAACTTTTGTGAGCTGATCAAGATTATTTTCGAGGAATGCAATTTTTTGTTTCTGTGCTGGCGTACCATTTCCGTCATCATTTTCTTCTCCGAGGGCTGATTTTTTCACTCGGCTTTGTAGATCTTGCACAAACAGTTTTCGCAAATTGTGCAAGGTTTGTAGTTCTTTGAGCTGTAAAGTATATTCATTAATAGTTACAAAAATATGTTCGAGAAAATTTCAATTACTAAGTTCATGCATTTATATTTAAAATAATATACTACTGAAATAAATTATTAATGGAAAATTTAAAGTTACAAAAAGTATTTACACCTTTTTAGAACGATTTTGGGGCCGTTTAATTAATGTTTAAAATAAAAAGAGTAATTTTTTAAATGTTCCATATGATAGTCTTTTTTAGGACTAGAAGTCCGCATCGTGATTTCTATGATAAAGGACTTTTCGTTAAATTTACAAGGTTGTTCAATTCCATTCCGCTTCCACTACTGTGCAATTTCCACACATCCTGGTGGGCTTGCACTTAAAAAGAGATCATTCCGAGAGACAAAAGACACAATAGTCTATAGGCGAAACGTCAGGGGACTTCGCAGGAGTGCGTCGAAAAGATATATATATATACTATACCTGAGCCAGTCTTCATTTGTTCAAGGTGCAGTGGTGCTTTCCGAAGTCCTTGCTTTGTCTTGATGTAGTTTCCCTTTTTGAAAGTCATTGGGACAAAGAAATGGAGTTTTTTCTGTCAATAACGGACGTAAAACTTTCTCTTGCTAGCAGGTTGAGTTAATTTTATTATTTTTTCTACATTTCTTATTTTAAATTTCCTATTGTAAAAGAATCCCGCGACAAACGTAAACCCCATACCTTTTCTGCATTGAGCGAATCCGATTTGTGCATATTTTTGCTTCATTCTCAATAATAAATAGAACTTTTTTTGTTTCAGTCATTTAGGTAAACAATAAAACAATGGAAAAAATAAAAGGATGCTGTTACTCAGTGTTATCGCCATGTATTATTTTTAAAGAAATAATAGAGCAAATATAAAAGAAATATATGACAACAGAAATAGAAAGATGTTGCTGCGCAATGTTATCGCTGTTTCTTATTTTTAAAGAATAATAGAGCGAATATATATGGCAACACAAACAAAAGGATGTTGCCACCGAATGTTAGAAATAATGTAGCGAATATAAATAATATATGGAAATACTTAGCACTGCATCAGGAATTAAGATATGCTGTTTTTAAATATTTTATGACTTTATAAGTGAGTTTGAGGGTAAGTGCAAAGAAAGTGAAATTTATTAAATGAAGTTGAAAAGACAAAGGGTTAATAACAAAAAGATAAAAACAGTTCTGTAAGTTACCTTACTATTAAAATTGAACACTGATATTATGAACTTGGAAAAGACTGAAAAAAAATTATTGCGACACTTAACATTGTATACGGAATTCTAATCGCTTTAAAAGTTTTTTGGTTTTGCTGTTGAACTTTATGTGGTTAAGTATTAAGACAGTGATGTTTAATAATAAAGTTAAAAAACACACAAAAAAATTGTGCACGCCATCTTGTTAAGAAAACTGAACATTGGCATGATGATCTACGAAAAGTCTGAAAGAAAAATGAATGCAGTTAATCTAGATGGTACCATGAAAAAAAAAAAAAAAAAAAAAAAAAAAAAAAAAAACCGAATTTATTCAGCAGTCGTGAGTGAAATGGTGATGGTGTAATAATGTATGATGACGCAGCTGCAATCAACTTTAGCCATCATGGTGAAGATTAAATATATATTTTTATTTCTGAACAGGAACAATAGTTTAGAAACGCATTTTTTCTTTATTGGAACAACACTAGGGGTGTTAAACGTGCCCCAAAATTTCATATAAGCAGTTACATCTTAAATAATGGATAAGGAAGACACGCGGGAAGGAAAAGTGAGGATATCGTGGTTTTAGTTAAGCTTGGCTTCGTTGTTTTAATTTTGCACAGTGATTGGGCAAGAGTTTTATCATTTGGGTTACTGCCGCGAAAGAATGACACCAGCGCAGATTTAAATTACGAATTTAAAGGGACATTGCAGATTAATCGAGATAGTGCAGACCATTAAACTTAATAGTTTGGTCATATTTAGTTAGTAATTTGATAATTTTCTTCATATTTTTATATTATACACACACATCAAGTATATATATATATGTGTGTGTCTGTGTGTGCTAAGAAACGATTGTAGACCTCAAAATTAACTTTTCTAAATTTGGTGTTCTCCCCCTCCCCTAAGTTCATCTGTTCTCCCAAATTTTATATCTTTCCATGTTATATAACAACATAAACTTAAACAATCACAGATTAGCTGTACTTCAGCATCCCCCAACCATCAGTAAGCTGGTACGCTGATTTTGCTGCAGAGAACATGCCAATTAATCGTCAAAGTATTATTGTGTTATTTAGTATTGCATTATATCAGTACATTTTTATATTGAATTTTCTATTGTATTAAATGTGTGTATCTACAATAAGAAGAACTTATTCAATTAATCATAAATTGTGTGTTATATTTCCACTTAAAGGTTCGCAGATCGCAAATACTTTTATCAAGAAATTTTGAAAAACATTAGGACATGTACATGTGGAACTATTTTCATCAAAAAACTTTACAAAAATATTTCATTGGACATTATAAGAACTTGAGAACTTAAAAAAAATTTTAACTTATGTTAATTTAGTTTTATTTAGAAATTACATTGTTGTTGTAATAGTTGTATATTATATGTTTAAGCATTTCATAAGCTTTATATATAAGAAAGGTCATGAAAAATTACGGGGCATAGGGAAAACCTGCCGGCTATGTCCTTGATGCTTCCTCATATCTTTCCTCATATGATAAATTTTTCTTGCTTCGCTAATACAATAATGCTTTCTATCCCAAAGGCACTCCCAACCTTTTTATTAAAGGGGGAATATGTAAGATTTAACAAAATACGATGGCTGCGCTACGAAATGATTGGCGACCTCAAAATTAACTAGTCTAAATTTGGTGTTCTCCTCCTAAGTTCATCTATTCTCTCAAATTCGAGATCTTTCCATGTTACATAACAACCTAAAACCTAACTAATCACATAGTATTACATTCGGATGTGATTACAGTTAATCACATTCGAACACGTTGCCAAATGGCAACGGGTTCGAGTGAAAAGTGAAATGATGTATTTATAGTGATTCGACGCAAAATCCCATTTTAAGACTAGTAGCCGCTTTTTGGCTAATAAACTGAAACCGTGTGCTAAAAAACGCGATAATAATTGAGGAAGAGTACTTTAAGTATTTTCTACGTTATATTATTAACAAAATTCTTTCATTAAATCAAAAACATTTTTAATCTTAATTTGTTGTCAAATGTATGATAATAATTTTATGCAAAATGCTTCTGATTCGCTGTTTTTATTAATGATATCTAAAAGTAAATTTTGACCACAGAAACTGTACTTCAATATTTACATACCACAGTTTCTTCAAGACCTTTCAGATCTTGCCTTGCCTGCTCTCGCCTTTCATTTAAGAACCTGAAATAAAAAAATGTATTATTATTTTATTTCCTTAGGTGCTTATGGAATTTATTAAGAATATTTTCAAATTATATAAAGCGTATCCAGATCACAGGCATTTAACTGTTCTGCGGTTGCGAGATTAAGGAATTCTTCCGTCGTAAATATGTTCGATAACTGTCAGTCAAAAATTTGCACACGTAATTGGAATGCGTGGTGAGCTCCTTCATGGCCATCAAAAGGTTAAATATTCAAATAATGTCTAGAAAAATAATTATTAAGAGCACTTGCAGTCTCTCAGTGTGAATATTATTCATTTTTCCCCTGGTTAAGTCCCATTTTAGACTTCCTCGTTTGAAAAAATTGGCGCACTTCCGCCTTTGTGTTCAACATCAACGTCAAATTCAGAAATGTGACCGAAAGCCATGTAACTTTAAAATACGTATCAAGTTTCCTAATGACGGCTCTTAAACTTCACAGTAAGTTTTTAAAAAATTTACGCTTTATCGTGGAGGAGGACAATGTTTAGTGCTATACAGAATAGATAATTTTTCTTACGACCACCTATTTACGATATGCTGTTCAAATACAAAATCTGTCCTCCTTTTCTGAGTAAAATAAGTGGTCTTCAGCCACTTAAAAAGTCCTCCTTTTTGGTTTGTCGAGTTTAACACACAATTTACTTCGAATTATCTAAAATACATGGATTTTATTTTTGAATTTCTGTTTTTAAAGAACACACTGAGAGCGTTGTCTCAATAATAAACATGTGACGTCCTAGAAGCAAAGATTAATGTTATTAAGAGTGTGCAAAGTCAGTTTGATAAACACATAATACAAATTTTAACTATAACGGGCTTTAAATTTTGTAAACGTAATTGTTAAAACGAAAGATGTGAAGGATAGGATGAAAATGCACGATTTTTAATGTTTTTACTGAGAATACCTGCAGAAGGAAACCAAAACCCTAAAACGGCCCGATTTATCGTTGCCACCTTCAGAAACCCTGAAGTACGAAAAGCTGAAATGGGACATCACGGGGCCGCTCATCAACGATTATAACGACCTTATTATAAATTTTGCCAATGTATGATATGATTGTGAATGTTATAACCAATCGAAATGGAGTCGGTTAACATTCTTAAAATGCGACATGGAAGAATCTCTTCATCACGGAAATGCATCCATTTTTTGGACTATCAGATTGAAGACTACAGAAATTTTGTTGTGGAAATTCTCTTGAAGTGATGCGGTCTTGAAATACTGGGAGAAAGCAAAATCAATAGTATTAATTCGACTCGTATTTTTTGGGAGGAACTTCGTTAGACATACTATATTCCAGATTATGATGAAGAATTTCAGAACTGAGAGCTGCGTAATACACGTTATGGCTGAAGTTATATGCAAAGGTATTTCAAGCAATGAGAATTCAGAGAAATGAAATGTGCACCCAGACAGTTACAATGAGAAGCAAAAGAGAATATAATTATAGTCTATAATAATGTAATTATATCATAACAGTCTATGCCAATAATGTCTGTCAAATAATTTACTAGGTATAATTTCGTTAGTTTTGATACTTTTCTATCCACTATAGTGTCTTTACAAGTACCTTCAAAGTATTTTAAAACAAGAATGTTAATTAAGAAAACAACGTATGCAAAAGTTTTCAGAGCTACATTTTAGCAGTGCTATAAAACTATTTGAGGAGAGGGAGTAAGAAACCTTAGGAGAGGTACATAGCCTGACACCTAGTTGCTTGTTAAAAGGAGTTCATATTACATTCATTTGGCAGAGAAGAAACACGTTCAAATTGCATGCAATTCCTTTGAAACCTTGTAAAGTTTACTGCAAAAGTCAAAAGAACAATCTACGAAACATATGGGCCTCCATAGCATTGGTAAAATTATGGTGAGAGAATGGTTCTCCGAGTTTAAGAAGGAAGATTTTGACCTGCAAGATTTTCGCAGTACACACATTTTGCCAGTGCTTTGCAGACGTCGATAATACTATTCGAAACCGCATTGAGAATTTCAATGGCTCTAAGCCTCAGTGTTTCTTTGAGCAGAGAATACGAAAACTACTTGATTTATGGGTTATAATGGTATAGAGCCAGGGAATATACTTTGATGATTAAGCTTTTATTTATTTACTTAAAAATGTAGCATTTACCCTCAATCAAAAAACGCTGGGAACTTTTGCACGTAACTTGATAGTTTTCAAATCATTATTAAAGTAAAGATTCGAAGGAAATAATTTTCATATTAATATTCGAAGGAAATACTTTTCATATTAAACAAAGTTACAGCAATTTACTGCTCATTTATAAATAAGATGGAATAAAATATTTTCAAAGGAAAGACGGGAGAACTTTAAAAATTTGAACTATGACCGATAACACAAAGTTTGGTTATATAAAATAGTCTTGTATTAAATATAGAAGGCGTACTTACACTAGTTCTTGCAACTTCATACTCTTTTCATGTTCGTCTTGCTTCAGTTTGTCATATTCTTGTTGTAATCGTTCCTGGGCTAAAGTCAGTTTCTGATTTAGGCTGCAATTCAAGAAAAAAAAAAAAAAAAAAAAAAAAAAAAAAAAAAGAGTTTCAGATTACAATATTTAATTTTTTAAATTGCAGATGTTTTCTTGCTTACAGGTAGCTGAAGAGAATCAGTTATAATTTGGTCTTATTGGATTATTTTTTAACCCTCAAACTAGAGAAATGAAACCCCAGTTTTCCCGAAACTGCCAAAGAAAAGAAGTATGTTTTAATTATAATATAAAAATACCTCTGGGGTTTTATACCTGGTTTTCTTTCCTTATAATACACTATCTTAATTTCTTGGATGCATTTCAAAATGCCCATACAGATACTTACTTAAGATCACGATAAAAATACTATTGTAGGACATAAATTATTAGGCGATGATCCTCATGAAATCGAGAGGTTTTAATGATAGATACGGTGCAGATCTTTAAAATCTTCTGATATTTTTGTGAAATTTCGACTTCTGTAATGCCAAGCAGAGATGTTATTGAACAAGTTATTGTTCTTGTAATATCAAAGCATGACATCTTATTCTCTCTTAATAGCTCTGTTGACTTGTGTCGGCCTTCAGATTTCGACTTGAATACTTTTTTTTTCCTTCGTGTGGCTGCCTCACTATGATCTTCATTCACGGATTGAAAATAAAATAGCGGCAACACTGTTGGAAAGAGATCATGAACATACGCTAGCAAGTAAAAAGCAATCATGTTTTGATTGACGTGCTCATCTGAATTAAAGACTATAATGTATACCGCTCTAGAACATCTTTACAAAATAAAAAAATAAGTAAAGAAAGATTGGAGAAAGCTAAAAGAATAACTTTGACCAAAAGTATCAGTAGCCCATAACAAATATTCATCGGAAGGATATTAAGAATTACTCAAAACCTATGACAACGATACGTTATTGTATCAGAAGTTATAAAATGAATCTGTTTCATTCGGATCGGTATGGCCAACCATTTGACCCTTCCAAGGTCACATTTAGGTTAAATTTGCGCACAGTCCTCTTTCCATTCTTCTTTCTTATCTGTCGACGGACAAAATTTCCAGGAATTAGCCGCATAAATTATATTCAGTCATCAGATTGAGTGGTTTTCCGAATCAGTCTATATTGCATCGTGGTTTGCAGAATACGGAATTCCATTATTATGATGAAAATGTCTCAAAAAACTCAAATATTTACTGTAATAGATTTGAGAAAAACGTCCAAGGACTTTCTAGTAATGTAAAGAAATTGTCAAGTGTCTGTATTAAGTATGTTCTCACTAATTTATCTATTTTAGTTGTATGTCCCATAGCAGATACAGTGCTACCATAGTATACTATATTAATCCGTTTTGGAGCCAAGCGATATTTTCCAGTAAGAAATAAAAGAAAAGGGAAATAATTAATACATTCTTAGAAATTTTTTTATTATTATTATAACATTGTTTAATACTGAAATACAAATGCACTTGGTGATATATACATGAATTTCTACATATATGAGGTTAAATACTACGTAAGGCACACGAAAGGTTTTCTGCTAACCAGATCAAAAGGAAAGTTTCGACATGCAGTAACTTCTCTAATCTCTGCGGGTAATTAATTTTACACCCTTCACAATGTTAGCTGGTTCAATACACAACCAGAGATGTACAACTGTATTTGTAACTCGTAGATATTATCGTACCTCACGACCGTAGATAGTGTCGTAATTGGCACACGGTATGCAATGGCCAAGTCCAGGATACGCATGCCATCTTCATATTTTTCAACCATCCCCTTTTTCACCTCAACAGTGATCCTAACATTTTTGTTTGCTGCATGATACCTCTTGTTAACTTCCATAAAACTCATTGTTAATGAAATTTAGGCGAAAAACGCAAAACGACTTAAAAGTTTAGTGTTATAGCACAGGTTGCTTACTAAATAGTAGCAACAGGCGCACTGACGCTTACATGCAGCCCTGGCATTGTCTCGAAGAAGGTAAACTAGGTTAGTGCGCGCAATCGTAACTCATCGAACTCGAGCCACATGCTATACAAATTCGTATACGAAGTAAACATTTCAAGCCCAAACAGCACGTATGTCAAGTTAGACGAATTTCAAAGCGAATGGATATCGAGGTACTACTGTAATATGTGAACCAAACGTCAAGAGAGATAATAAATAATATCAAATTCTGAGTAATGAGAGATGAGTTTACCACTCTTCTAATGAATAAAACGATTAGTATAAGAGCTCAATCACGAATCGTACTTACTCTTTAAGTTTATCAATTTGGTTTTCCTTTTCAGAAATTTCATCGCGTAAGGCAGAGAGCTGTTTCTGATGTGCTTCTCTGTGTTTTTCGATTTGCTGTTCCAATGCTTCTTTCATTTTCTCTGCTGAATCTTTCAACTTCTCTTTTTCTTTGGATGTCATTATATGCATCTCTTCTGTAAAATATAAAGAAATAACCCTCAGTATATTTGCATATTTTTTAAGTACTGACATATATAAAAGAAGCATTTTTATAAGCAGATTTTCTTTCAGTTTTTTTCATGGTTAAGAATAAAATCGTATAATAAAGTATGCATAACATCGAATTCGAAAGTGTTTTTCAGTTTAATCCGTTCAGGACCTGCGAAAGGAGAAAGAAGCGTTCTATCAAGCTAGGGCGCTCTGAAGGCACAGAAATGTAGGGACCGGGAGATTTTCCCCATTAAGCCTAATTTCATTTAAAAATTCATTTAAAACTATTGCTGCAGTTAAATACGGGGAAACATATAGTTTATTATTCTGAAACTTATAGTTTTTTTATCATTGATAGTATCTAAATATACTCTTACTCTGTAATAAAATTTGCGTGATGTTTTAAAAAATAATTATGCGAATTTAAGAAATTGGTTTCATTTTAATAAAAAATGTTACATAAATATACTGTCGGGGTAAATATCGAAACCTTTGAATAAAACTAAATGATATGTAAAAATAAATTTCATAAATCTAACGACATTCATAAATCTAACGAACTATTCGCAGTTATTAAAGGTCTATTACCAGTGACGTAGCTAAGGTGGATAAGGGGGAATAGCATTCAGGGAACGCCAAAATGATATTACAGAATTTCAGATTGAAATGTTTTCCATTCTTAGCAAGCAAAAAAAGGGCGCAAAATCTTCAGCTGTACCCGGACGCTGCACGCCTTTACGGCTTTGTAAAGGTGTGCTTCTATTACATTTAGTTACCTACCTTATGTTAGTTATAGCAATGGAATTTAAATAATTTAATATAAAAAACATATAAATAGGTATTTTTGCAGCATTTTAATTAGGAAATGTCAAAAATATTTTGAATGCAAAAGTTCATTTATGAACAGTTCATAACGTATTTGGAAATTGTTTCACCGATGTTGTACGCCCAGTCTTAATACTCGAAGAGCATACCTCATTAAAAAAGAGCTTGACAACGTAAAATTTAAAATTAGGCAAAAATGCAACCTTAGTTTGCTGTGGATGTTTTCAGGTATTTTTGCCTCTTCAGATTTTGTTTTTCTTCCTGAAGAAGAGGGACTTTTGCCTGATCCACTGAAAATCGATAGAGTTATTGAAAACATTCGTCAAATTAAGTTTTTTTTCAATAATTCTCAATGGCTGACTAAAATCGAAAGCAGTATGTTTGGCAACTTAATACCTCACTTGGAAACATTTCTATATCACTCCGCAAATTTTGTAATCAATTTTGGACTTATTTGGCTACTTTACTACAGTTTAAAAAATTTGATTATATTAACCGAACTGTTTATCACAATAAGCGAATGCATCGTCCAATTTTGTACACAAAAAGATAATTCGATACTTTAGCAATTTGATGAAATTAGCTGAATTATTAACTACAATCACATTAAGTGGCAACTGTAAAAGTAAATCTGGTAGCGGCGTTTCTGATACATATTCATATTCAATAACTGAATAATTGCCATTGTTTATTGCCTATCAAACAGTATAGTAGTTAGCGACTGCTAGGGAATATTTTTAAACAGTGACTATTACTACCTTACGGATGGGCCTGGGCTGGAATCCCGAAGAAGGTACACTGCTCAAAAAAAAAAAAAAAAAAAAAAAAAATGGGACGTCCTATATCTCCCGATCTACTGGGCCGATTGACAAAATTCAAATTGCGTTCTTCATGTCCTCGAAAGCGCGACTTAGGATATATATTAGATTTATATATAGCACTATTCTAACATAGGTATTTGACACAAAATCGGACTTTTCTGAAATAACATACCAATTTTTTACATATTTCGATTCTACGACTCAAATTCGCCTAAATATGAAATTTTGTAAATTTGGAGCGAATTTACGGAGAAATTCCAAATTTATGTTGGCACACTTTTTTGTCAGTTTGCGCAAGAATACTTTCACTTGGCGAACTTCTTAATATATGGCAACCTAGTTTCCTTAGGAAAAAAAGTCACCATCGTTCCTTTTTTCCAAATAATATTCTTTATATTATATTTTAATTATAACTTATTATTTTAAGTAATTTTTCCTTTTCGAATTTCATTTTAATTGTTAAGTTGCACGTTTTTTTTTTTTTTTTTTTTTTTTTTTTTTTTTTTTTTTTTCAAATAGTTTTTCAATTTATATATATTTTTTCGTCATAACTATTATTTTAGGTCATTTTTAAATTTTTATACTTTTATTTTAATTGTTTGTGTTGCATTGTCTCTTCAGATAATTGTTTTAAAATTTTTCTATTTATTCCCTTCGAACTGAGCATTTTAAATATATTTAAATATATTAATATCATTTTCCAGAATTTGATTTTATTATTTAACTGCGTTTTTTTCGGAAGAATACTTTGTAACCCAGACTACGATGCCTTTGAAAACTGTAATACTATATTAAAGAGAAAATACAGTAAAGCACAGTTTTACACGCCTTTCAATGTCCGTTCAGAAAAATATATATAATAAGAGAGATGTATAACCAAGAACAAGTACCAAGAACAGTAACACAAGAAAATTAAGATTTTCGACTGCTAGACTTCCATACATTTTGCATTCTTGTCAATTTTTAAAATATCAATTATATGAATTGCGTTTCAGCTAAAGACAGCTTTTATTTTCTAGTCATTTTAGCTATAAATAAATTTAAAGCGAAGTCCAAAGGATAAATATTTTAATTAAAAGATTTTTGCTAAATGACAAAGAATAAACAGTCCAGCAAGGTTTATTTCTGTACCACAGAGTAACCCGATTCTTATATCGGCTGAAACAATAAATCATATTAAAGATCATTTTTTTTAACAATCATAACGCGAGAGAAAATTAGCTTCTTAAAACATGCTTTCTAAAGGATTAATATAAAAATTTATATTTATATATATATTTTTTAAAGTTGGGACTTGAACCAAACTGTCAGACTTTTAACTTATATTTTTTAACTTAGGATGACTTGCATACACTGCTTTAAACAGTTTTTATCATTGTTCCCATTGCTTTACACAATTTTTCCTACTTTGGTTTCTTAAAATGTTTTCATATTTTAGTCAAATATTTTATTTTTGAAATCGCAAGAATCAAATTCATAAGATTGAAAAGTTTTAATTTAAAAAATACGAATACTAAATTTTACGAAAAAATTTATTTTTCTTCTCTGTTTCTTTAAGCATTCTGAAAGCATATTGAAAAGTACCAACTTTTCGAAACATTTTGGTATTTCTGACAATCATTTTAAATAAAGTTCTCGCCTTCATTTCATAAAGGCCCACAAACGGCCGAGCGGTAAAGTTGCTGAACACTGGTAGTTCACTCCGGGTTCGAACCATGGTAAACGGGCTGGTTGCATGGGCGTTTTCGTGGATTTTCTCATGTGTACCGCGTATGACAGCTGGTTTCCCTTAGAAAGTTCTTCACGAAGTATTTCGTCAGAGCCTTTATCAGTCTTTAGAGGCTAAACATTTTGAAGCTATGAGATGAAAGGAAAGACTGGTTTCATCAAAAGGTTTTGGTTTATTTCATTATGACAAAACACACTACGGCTATCTGCCTAAGGGGAGGGATACCTTCCTGGAGGACATTCTAAGGGAAACTGGCTCGCATACACGTTACACATGGGGAAAACCACGAAAACGCCCATGCAGCCAGCCCGTTCGCGGGATTCGAACCTCGGACCGAACTACCAGTGTTCAGCGACTTTACCGCTCGGCCGCTGTTTCATCAGGAAGGGAAAAAAACATCTTTAAGTGACATCCACATACATCACTGGATAAACTCCTGAATCTTCAAATAATTCGACTGAGGAAATCATGGGATTCACCATTTATGATACGATATGATGTTTTATAACGTAATTTACACAACCATATAGTTTAAAAAACCAGTCGCTCTTCACTTTAATCTGCAATGATATCGTTTTTGTCTTTTCCGTTGGCACAAGATCAATTGATGGTATTTGCTGGTGTACGCAACCAAGTGTTTTCTCTTTGAACATCCTAAATTCCTTGAAGTATTCCTGAGAAGTATATTCGAAAAGCGTCCAACTTTTCGAAACATCCTAGGTATTTCTACACAGCCAAATTTCCCTCTTCAAATTTTTGCTTACTTTCTCCCTAATTTTTCTTCTTTCCTTCTACAGTTTATTTTCAGTGCTCACTACAAGAAAATTAAGATTTTTCGACTGCTAGACTTCCATACAATTTTGCATTCTTGTCAATTTTTTTTAAAAATATCAATTACATGAATTGCGTTTCAGCTAAAGACAGCTTTTCATTTTCTAAGTCATTTTTAGCTATAAATAAAGTTTTAAAGCGAAACTCCAAAGGAATAAATATTTTAATTAAAAGATTTTTTTACTAAATGACAAAGAAATAAAACAGTCCAGCAGTGGTTTATTCTGTACCACAGAAGTAACCCGATTCTTATTATCGGCTGACAAACAATCTAAATCATATTAAAGAATCATGTTTTTTTATACAATCTAATATACGCGAGAGAAAAATTAGCTTCTTAAAATATTCTTTCTAAGAGAATTAATATAAAAATTTATATTTATATATATAATTTTTTAAAGTTGGGACTTGAACCAAACTGTCAGACTTTTAAAGCTTATTTTACATGGTGGTTATTATTAAAGTTCCACTTTGAAATGGTCATAAAAGGAAAACTACAGGACCAAATGTTATCAAACTTGGGAATCGTGTAAAGGAGGTTATGAGAATTTATTTTCGGCGGAAAAAAAAAGAGTTCAAAAACTCACCATCAGGGGAAAAATGGCGCTGTATACAGTATTGTTAAATGAAATAAGACACGAAACATCTGTTTAAAATGTGTTTAATATTTTCCGAAACGTGTTACAAAGCATGTTTCAATGTAGCGTCCAGCATTTTCCGAAAGCAAGTTAAATCATGTTACTGCATTCTCAACAGCAGCTCTTAGCATATCAGGTTT